CCAATACTGGAAGCGCCACTGGGTAGCTCTGTCCACTCTTTTGGAGATTTTCACACAGGAAGTGGGAATATGCTCCTCCTTTCCAGAAGGGTTTTGGCCAAGACTAGAGTATGGCCTCCTGGCTAGACATCAGTCTAGCCTTCTTTATTCAGAAGCGAAGTAGACAAAGGTTTCTCCATCAGTTAAGTCTAGTTATGCACTGGAGTCCTTCCAAGCACTTCTCCTTCCCTACAAAGATTGGAAGATTGCAGGTCTTCCTAGATCAGAAGATGGATGGTGCAGCAGCTTCAATATTGTCTGATGCTTATCATTGGCATTAGCACGTAGATGGGCATCGTGAGGTCACAATGGCTGTCATCAAGATGACACAGCTGGGTTTCCTACAGTGGGTGGGAGGTAGACTTTTTTATCTCAAGGTCTCGTCCAGTTCTGCCATTTTAAGATGCATCCTCCACTGACCGGCACCCACCCTTCCCTTTTCCAAGGGGACATCTCCAACGAGCCTACTTAATGACCCTTAATCCCACAAACTGCTCCCTAATGGGGAAGAGGCCTCCCTTCTCTCTGGTAATGGGATGCGATTGCAGGGCAGACACCTTTATCACACAGGGTCCGCCGCAGCTGGAGGGGGTGGGGGGCAGCCTGCTGTGAAGCAGGGCTGCAAAGAGAGCCATAATCTGCACCTGGCTAATGAGGGGTGCCCCGGCCTGTGTTCTGTGAACACAATGGAAGACAGGCCCATTAGTTACAGACGAGAGGGCACAGGGCCGAGGTAGCAGTGTTCATATTGCAACAAGATGAGTTGTGCGTTACTCGAATCACCTCTGAATTACACAGTCCTCCCACAAATTGCTCATTAAGGCTTTCCTGTCATTCCTTAGCTGCAATATTCCCTCTTCTCTGAAAACTCCCCAATCACAGAGGCTGTGCCTAGGACAGAGGGGTACACGCAGCAGACATAAATAAGGAGAAATACGAGTTTATGACAGCTTGCTGCTCCAGGACAGAAATTCTGGTCTACTCATCTTTATCCAAGTGCCGTGTTTTGGGCTCATGACAGCTGCTCAACAGAAGTTTATTAAACGAATGAGTGGCCTGCTTTATGAATTATCTGTGGAAACAGAGTCCCTCCTCCCTAAATGTTTAATTGGGAGAGAGAATGGCTCACTCCCCACCACCCCCAAGATAAGCAATGCAGGGGTCATCACAGAGGTCAGGGGAAGGTGGTGAGAAGTGGCCTCGCTCCCCAAGGCCAGCTGGTAAATGAGAAGATCACCCATTAGTCAAGCCCTGGGGAACAAGCTGTCACCTCACAGGGCCAGAGGGGAGACGCTGCGCCCACCCCTTTACAAAAATAGAAGCTGGGTGACCACCAGACTCCTCAATGGCCAAGAGCTTCCCAGATCTGGAATCAGAGGCCCCTGACAAGCCTGCCACCAGAAAGGAGACTAGACACGGCTCACACACTAACTATTTCCTCACGCCCTTGTTTAGATGTGGATCCGCGCACACAACCCTTACCCCAAACCGCCACCCTCCTCACCCCCTTTAAAAAATACCAAATAAGTCAAGGGCTGAGGCGCTCAGCTCTGCACAGATATTTCAAATTAATCTTGAAGCAACTTAAAAGGATTGTTTTTCTCCCCTGTTCCCTGCACATTTTCTGTGGCAGCTGGGTCAAGCCTGAGCAGCATTTTCACCGCTGACTCAATAGCAAAATATTTCTGGGCTGCCCTCTTCCTTTCACTCCCTCTGTTTTGTTTTTTATTTTCTCTCCCCTCCCCCTCTACACAAACACACACACACATGTGCACACACACTTCTTTCTGAGATATGAGCACACAATGGAACATGGATCTTAAACTTACAGTCCATACACAGAATCTTGTGTTTGGGATCTTGTGCTTGGATAGGGAAAATAACATGATTTTCACTGACCTCTAACTAAAATATAGCATTCTCATCAATTATGAATTCAGGCAGCAAACGACATGAATCTTAGCAATACTTGTACCTCTGACATCAATAGAAACACAAACATTTTCACATCACACCAGAGTTATGGCCCTGAAATATCATTTATGCGCATCACTATTTCAAAATTATGATAGTTACCAGACTTCAAGTAGAGCTTATTGTTAAATATGTTCCTACAGAAGTACATGTGTTACTGTTATTTTTAAAAATTTAGTAACTGTATTTCAATAGTTGTTTTCCAAGCCTGTATACGTTATTTTGTACATTTACAAACATTATTCTGAGAAGGGGTCCAGAGCTTCACCAGACCACAGTGGTCCATAGCACAGAAAGATTCAGAGCCCCTGCTGCCGAGTGAGCATAATGCGGGATGTGAGATTTTTCCAGAGTCATCAAGGCCTGGTCCAGGGGGCTCGGAGGCCAACAGGCAGTGTCCAGTAGCGTCATGAGGCAGGTCCCAGGGGCAGAGGAACAGGAGGGATATTGGGTAAGAGCTTGGGTGGGCTGTGAAGTCAGACAACGTACTGGCTCTGTCTCGCCGGCAGTTGTGATTGCGGGCAAGCCACTTCACCTCTCTGAGGTTCCATTTCTTCAGCTGTAAAATAGGAATAATAGACCAGACGACTCTGAGAGCATGAACTGAGAGGGTGCATGTGTGGCAGCAATGGCTGCTGGGTTGACTGGCCCTTGGCTGACTGTAGAAGGTCAGCCTTCCTACCTGTGGACTTCTGAGGCTAAGGTATGTTGTTTGGTTTGGTTTTTGAGACAGGCACTATCTGTGCCCTTTGCAAGCTTCTCACATCCTTGAGCTTCAGGGATCCGGTGAAGTGCCTCAAACTCTAAAACACATCCAGACACAGACCTAAGCCCCCTGCCTCCCCTTCTGTCCCTGGCTCACTGAAACAGGCACCCAGGCCAGGCTGCAAAGCAGATTCCCTGACCCACAGCAGAAGAGACTGCAAGCAAAAAGGAGACCTTCCAGACCTTTCCAAGACTGGTCACACCAGCCAAAGCACCTGCCTCTGCTTCGCAGAGCAGCTGGCTTCTGACCTGCTGTCTCCCATCACTTGCTGAGCCGCGACAGAGATTCTGCAGTCCTAGTGGCCTCTCCCGGAGCAGGCGAGGCCAGAGTCAGACCCAGGCTGCCAGACCACTGGGCGAGGAGCCCTCAGGAAGGCCACGGAAACCACACAACTCCTAAGGTAGGGCAAGAAACTCCTTCACATGTCTTCCAAAAACTGGCTTAAAGATGTTCAAAAGTTCTGTTGTAGAAAGGGGCTACGCATTCTTTAAAAATTACACATATTGATTTTCATCTGATTATAAGTTACAAAAGATTGGAAAGCACAGAAAATTTATACAGAGAAATTAAAATCAATCATAAGCCTGGGCCCTAGAAATCAAAACTATTAACACTGTGGTGAATTTTCTTCCAGTTATACCTCTGTTGACACTCTCACATAAGTTGGGATGATAAGTATATAGAGTTTATATCCTGCTTTCATCACTGAAAAATACCTACAGACATTTTCAATATGAGCTCTTGAAGGACACAAAACTTATATCAGATGCCGTCTGTAAAATGCACAGGTTACTGAGAGATCTCACAGTATTCCTAAGTGTAGTATTGTGTATTTAAATATATGTTATTCCCAGAAAACTGACAGGAGGAGAGCCCATTTTGCTCTTCTTAAAGTGCATATAATATTTAACTCTCTTCTTTAGCTTGAAGAGAATCTAGAAAGATACTTTTGTGTCCTCAGCAAAGAGGCACTATATGACATCTTTCTTTTTCGCGTTTTCCATCTCTCTCTCGATAAGGGGAAAGCTTTGAAAATTCCCTGGTAGAAAAATGAGGTCTTCCTTGAGAAAGTGCTCAGCAGCTGAGGAAAAACTTCCAGAGAGAAGTGGTGTGGCAGGAAGAGCCCTGGACTTCAAATGGAAGCAAGTTGGATTCATATGTCAAGCCTGCCATTGTAGCCCCGAGATCAAAGAGCCCCCATTTCCCTGTGTCAACAGACACCACCCCCACCTCAAAGGATCAAAGGGCTGCGCAGATTAAATAAGACTCCGCATGTGAAAGTGCTGTGTCAACAGGGAAGTACACTGCGGGACGATCACCACTAAGTCAAGTCATCGAGGCTGGTAACAGTACTGTTATTGTTGTCGCTTAGCCAGCTTGAACACTAAGTGCATGCCCTGAGAGGCGCAGTGTGCAACAGTGTGTCAGTGGGGGCTCTGGAGCCAAACTACACTTCCGGTGGGGCCAAGTTATTTGGCCTCTCAGTTTCTTCATATGTAAAATGGGATAATGATAACACATGTAATAAGATGGAGAGGATGAAAATGAGTTAACTTACACAAGGTGCTTACAACAGCTTGTTGTTGGTGCCCTCCATTCTGACTCTTAGGGACCCTGTGTACAGCAGAGCCCAACCCTGCCAGCTCTTTTTGGGCCATCCGCTCACCTTCCGGTGCTCTATCAGACAATGCTGCACTGCTATCACAGGGCTTTCACGGCCAATTTTTTCAGAAGTGAGTGGTCAGGTCCTTCTTCCTAGTCTATCTAGTCTGGAAGATCCACTGTAACCTGTCCACCATGGGTGACCCTGCTGATATCTGAAATACTGGTAGCATATCTTTCAGCATCACAGCAACAGCAGCCATCACAGTGTGACAACCGACAGATGGGTAGTGTGGTTCTCTGATGGGAAACAAACCCAGGCTGTGGCGATAAGAGCACCAAATCTTAACTCTAGACCACCAGGGCTGGCATTTAGAACAGTACCCAGGACATCATAAACACTATATAAGGGGAGCTTTAAAAAGTCAGTGATCAACGGCAAATATAGGATTGAAATTAAATGTATACCAGCTAAAACCAGTAGGCACCGCTTTTTTAAAGCTTTCCACAAAACTATTATCATTAATCACAAAGTTGGACTAGCAGCCTCCATCAGTTTCCCTAAAAAGTTATGCCCCCGACTCCAGCCCCACTTGAGTTTGGCTGGCTCCCCTCCTACCTTCTCAGCATCCTGCTCAAAGAGCCGCAGCTGGAAGCACTGGTCCAGCTTGAGCTTGCGTACGTGCCACATCTGGTGCAGGTGCTGCCGGGTGGAGTGCAGCTTGTCCAGGAGGCTGGTGATCTTGGGCACCAGGCTCTGGAAGTCGGCGCTGCCGGGGATACAGTTGCGCCCTGAGAAGCCATCGCTGCAGCGGATGCATTGCAGTAGCCGCTGCCCCTCCCGGTCCAGCTCCTCCACAGGGGCCTTCAGCACCTTCTTCTTGAGCTGCGTGTGCTCATCGATGAGCCGCCGAGAGCCCTCCACATCCACGGGGAACTCCTTCCGGGCCAGCATCTCCTGCAGGTCCTCGAGGCGTGAGAGCAGGTGCACAGCGCTGTTGAAGAACTCCTCCAGGGAGAGCCGCAGCTCGATCCACTCCTCGTGGTTGTAGTCCAGGGAGCCGTCAAACTCCTCCGTCAGCTGGGAGGGGTCCACCAGCTTCGTGAGGCCCTCCACGGACACCATGCTCGTCTAGGAGGGGCAGACACAGAGAGGGAGACTCAGTGATCGTCGGGGCCCGTGGGGGGAAGACCTCAGGGCAGCAGAAGGCAGAAGAAAGTAAGTCAAGGGGAACGGCCAAGATAAGTACACATAATAATGACCACAGCCTGCCTAGGAGAGAGGGCAAGTGGAGAGCATGTGGCCCACTGGTCAGGAGCCATAAATCAGCCAGGGTCAGCAGTTTCACAGACTCGCTGACTGGTTCAAAAAGCTCTCCACCTGCCCAACATTTGCCATTCAAGGAAAGACTGCCTTTATGTCCCCACTGTCCTCATCTTCCTCCTACCCACCCCCAATGCCACCTCAACAGGGCTTCACATGCTAGAAGCGGGAGAAGCTGGAAGCACAGACCCTGTGCCTGGGGGTCCAGTTCTCTGTAGCTTTAACACCCAGACCCACAACCCAGGGTATCATTGCGGTTGGACTAAGCAGTGTGGGTCAATCCTTGGGCTGCAAGGAGGGCAGAATCGACCTTCCTGCCTCAGGTCGGGTGGGTCTTGGACCACAAGACTCTCTGTTAGCAGACACCCTTCTCTGATACAGTGAATGCACCAGGGCTGGGGGACAGGAAGTCTGGGCCCTCAGCTTTCTCTGTGAGCCCCCTGCAAGCTCTTGGAGAGCCGAATATAGAATGTTTGTCTCCAGGACACAAAGCAACAAATGACGGCACAGGCAACAACCCCAACTTGTCAAGAAACATCTCTCCCTCCCTTAAGATTTCCGACTTCTCTCTCCTGCAGAAGAAGAGGCTATCAAAGAAATATCTGGATCTAGGGTCCAGCCTTACACTTACTAATTGTGTGAACTGGGGCAAGCTATTTCAGTTCTCAGTGCCTCGGCCCTCTCCTCTGTATGATGGAGATAATAACGCTTTCCTCCTAGGGCTGTGCTGGAATTAAATGCGTCAGCATGCAGAAAGCACCTAGGGCGCCTGGCCCAGAGCGCAGACTCATCCCCTGTTAGTGCTCATCGTGATGCTCTGAGGGCTGCATCATTACCAGAACCCTTAAAAGCAGTTTGTCTCTCTCTGTCTTGCACTCTCTGAGCATCTCCACCTCATCCCCTTTTCCCCCTCCATCTCCTTTCCTAAGACACAGGAAGGAGCTGCCTGTGTCTGGAACAGGGGTTCTCAAACTTGACTGCTCATTATAAACCCCTGGGGAGTTTACAAAAACCCTGATGCTCAAACCCCCACCCCTAGAAGTGTTGATTTAGTTGGTCTGCATGGGAGCTTGGGCATGGGTAGTTTTAAAAACTCCTAATGTGCAGCCAGCAACATGAACCTCTGCTAATCTAGATCCTTGCTACTCAGAACATGGCCCTAGACCAGCCCCAGTGGCCTAGTGGTTAAGTTCAGTGTGCTCTGCTTCAGCAGCCTGGGTTTGGTTCCCGAAGGTGGACCTACACCACTCATCAGTGGCCATGCTGTGGGAGCTGTTCACATACAAAAAGAGGAAGATTGGCAACACATGTTAGTTTAGGGCAAATCTTCCTCAGCCAAAAAAATTAAAAAATGAAAAAAATATATATATACACACACATATATATATATGGCCCTCGAACCAGCAGCATTGGCATCACCTGGGAGCTTATCAGAAATGTGGAATCTCAGGCCCTACTTAGACCTACTGAGTCAGAATCTGCATTTAACAAGACCCCCAGGGGACTCTGTGCATTAAACTTTGAGAAGTCCTGTTTTAGAGCACTTTCTCCTTTGAATTTGGCTCAAAGTTTACCACCTCCAGGAATCCTCCCAGGATTACATTCACCAATTATTCATTAAGTATCTGCTACTGAACAAGCCTGTACTCTCCCCTCTATCACTTATTGCCTCAGTCTGCGCTGGGCATTTCATTTGCTGTTTGTGAAGTATACTTGATAAACATTCTTCTGAGTGGGAGGCCCCTGGCTACGTCTCCTGTACTCGTTTAGGAGGCAGAGACAAGCCTGCTCAACCTGGGGTGAAGCAGGTACAGAGAGGTAGGAAGTGCTGGGCAGCCATGCTGAAGCAAGTTTCAACACTTGTTAGAAAGATTGTCTTCAGTCTCTCCAGCTTATAATTTATAGGCTGCTTGTCACCACCTCTGTACAAACAAACCCAAAACACGAAAAGTTTCCTATAGGATTCCTAGTATTAAGTTGGGGTATTGGGAGAGCATGAGAGTTAACTGTGTTTATCCCAAGTCACATTTCTTGTGTTTTTTCACAGAGTAAGAACTGCCTGGTCAGCCAGGTGGTCAGGTTGCTGTGCTCAAATTGCAGCCTATATGGGGCCACCCCCCCACAAACAGGCGCTCCTGGCCCCTGGGGGACAAAAGTCTGGAATGCGTTGCTAAAAGACTAAGAGCAGCTCTGCCTTTCCAACATACAAACGTATACAAGGTTCGTCCCCATGCAGACGAGGACCAGAATTCCCAGAAAGGCCAACAGCTCGGAGCTGGCTGGAACAAAGCTTCCTAAATCATCGATTCAATCTGATGTGTTGTCACTAAAAATTCTCAGGGGGACACATACGCCCTCTGGAAAAATCTAGTTAAAAAATAACACTTTTTCCCTGAGTATAAAAGGAATACAGAATTCTCAAAAGAAAACAGAAAAATATGAAGAAAATAAAAATCACCCATAATCCAGCCACCTCTAATAAGCTAAGCCACTGCTAACATTTTCATGTGTCCCAGTCTTCTTCTCCATATACGCACTTAAAAAACAAATTTTAGACAATATTGCCCATGCTGTTTTATAACCTGCCTTTTTAAAAACAACATATCATGAGCATTTTTCAATACTATTTTTCTAAACATGATTTTTAATGGCTTCACAGTATTTATGTATTAATGTCACCAAAATTAATGGGTATTTAGGATACAAACTATATACGTGTGTGTAAGTATGTATATATATATGTAAATATGTGTATGCATACGTGTGTGTATATTACTGCACAAAAACCTGTGATGAACATCCTTGTAGACATTTTTTTGTTTGTAATTATAATTAGCTCTTCACCTTTTTGTTTTGTTTAACTTTTACATGAAAAACATTTTCCTAGAAGAAGAATTACTAGATCGTTGGGTACAAACTCTTTTTAAAGCATTTGACCCAAATTACAAAGCTGCCCCCAGAAGCAACTGCTCCAGTCTACACGCTCGCCAGGAGTAACCAGGATTGCCTCAGGACACCGTGCACCTGGGACAATCCCGGGAGCCTCGTACTCCTCCCCAGACTCTAACTGTTAGGCCACAGCCGCCAAGGAATCCTGAGATCCCAGCCCCTGACCTGTTGCATGTGGCAGGGGAGATGGAGACGGGGAAGGGAGAAAGGTGTGCGTGGCAGAAGGGCAAGGAGACGGGGTTCTGAGAGAGAGGTCTGGCTCACCTCGAAGATGAATTTGGAGCTGCCAAAGTTGGTCTTCTGCTTCTGCCAGAAGTTGTCAGGTTTGATGATGAGGGCCACATGGATCTCGGCGGGAAACGCTTCCTGCAGCGTCTTGAGGAGGGGCTTGATGAGGTCCCACTTGGAGCCCCGCATGTCGATGATGACGGTGAAGCCACGTTTGCACACGTCCTCGCTGTGGGGAGGCCAGAGGTCAGGCAGGGTCACTCTGGGCAGCTGACACTTTGGAGTGCACACTCAAAAAGCATCCAAAACCCGCATTCCTTTTCATCTAGACCACCCTTCGCACTTCACACCCACTCTCCTGGCTGCCTTCCAATCCACTCAAAGTGTCCTGCTCAGAGATCCTTTCTCGATTAACCCCATCTGCCCAAGGGCGTTCTGCCTCCTCCTGCACCTAGCAGATAACTCAGCCTTCCCTATGCCTACTGCACTTGTTGGGATGTTCACTGTTTAGGTAGTCACTGTTGTGCTCAATTTTCTTTTAATTGTTTTTTTTCTTTTTTTTTTTTGGTGAGAAAGATTGGCCTTGAGGTAACATCTGCTGTCAATCCTCCTCGTTTCACTTGAGGAAGATTGTTGCTGGACTAACATCTGTGGTGATCTTCCTCTATTTTGTACGTGGGACGCCACCACAGCATGGCATAGTAAGTGGTGCATAGGTCTGCGCCTGGGATCCGAACCTGTGAACCCCAGGCCGCCAAATCGGAGGGCATGAACTTAACCACTACACTGCCAGGCCAGTCCCCTGATTTTTTAAATTTTTGTCTCCCTGTCTTGCTCCTGGGATGAATCATGTTTTCTCCATTTGAATACAAGCTCTCTGAAGACCAGAACCCTGTACCCTTAATCCGAGGTGGGAAGTCAGGCATGAGTGCTGACCCTCCCGCGCCCATATCAGTGGCAGACACTAGCACACTTTGCCACTGAACCCAAACTGGGCCAAAGCATCTTTTCCAATAAGGGGCTCTAGCCTGATGCTATCAACTGATTAGAGACAGTGCACGAAGTATTAATAATATATTTGCCACCACTGTATTTAAGATGTATTACTTGTAGTTCAAAACACGTCAATTTAAAAAACTCAGGTTGCTGAGTCATGCTGACTACTCTTAGATGGCCAAGGGTGGGACTGACCAGAAAGGGGGATGCAGTCCAGCTGTCTCATGTGCTTCTATTCTAAGAGTCAGCATGTAAAAAGGCACGTTTCTGGAAGGTAAGAGAGAGGAAGCTACTCTTGAAATTGAGGCCAGAAGAAATGACAGTGACCATCTCAAAACCCAAAACTAATCATGTTAAGTGAATCAAGACATTGCTATAAACTTATTAAGAAGCGAAGTTCACTTAAACACTTGGACTTCATAATTCCTAAGAATCAAAAAGAAAATAAAAAAGAAGATCAGAACAGTTATAATATCTCAGTTTGGGGGGAAGGCTATGTTTTGGTCATTAGGGGTCTTTCCTTCCATCCTCCTTGGTTTATTTAATCTATGTATTTATTTTATAACTCAAAATAGACTTTGGTTAGTTCACATTTTTACGTAAATACTGGTGTAGCATTTCCTGAGGGTGTTTCTCTTAATTTTCGATTCCCCAGATTGTGCTTGCTTAAACCACTGTGCATGGTGCGTGACCCAGAGATGTGCACCGTCACATATCACTGTGCATGGTGCATGACCTACAGATGTGCACCGTCACATATCACTGTGCATGGTGCATGACCTACAGATGTGCACCATCACATATCACTGTGCATGGTGCGTGACCCAGAGATGTGCACCGTCGCATATCACTGTGCATGGTGCATGACCTACAGATGTGCACCATCACATATCACTGTGCATGGTGCATGACCTACAGATGTGCACCATCACATATCACTGTGCATGGTGCATGACCTACAGATGTGCACCATCACATATCACTGTGCATGGTGCATGACCCACAGATGTGCACCGTCACATATCACTGTGCATGGTGCATGACCTACAGATGTGCACCATCACATATCACTGTGCATGGTGCATGACCCACAGATGTGCACCGTCGCATATCACTGTGCATGGTGCATGACCTACAGATGTGCACCATCACATATCACTGTGCATGGTGCATGACCTACAGATGTGCACCATCACATATCACTGTGCATGGTGCATGACCTACAGATGTGCACCATCACATATCACTGTGCATGGTGCATGACCTACAGATGTGCACCATCACATATCACTGTGCATGGTGCATGACCTACAGATGTGCACTGTCACATATCACTGTGTATGGTGCGTGACCCACAGATGTGCACCGTCACATATTCACTTGCTCATAGCTACTGGAGGTAATGCCACCGTTGGAGGATTTAGGCCTTGAAAGGAAATAAAACCCCTTTTCAGGCTTCATTCTCAAATCTCAACCAGTGATGAGAATGTCTCATCATTGGTGAAGATGAGACTAGTGAAGAGACCACAGCTGCTGTGACTGTCTCAGGCAGAAGGCAGCTTCCATAGGCCTCCCAGAGAGACAGGAAACTCCCCAGGCGAAGAGATTCTTTCCATGTCTTCTTGTTGATACAAAGGACTAGACTCAGCACGGGAGGAAGGCTGAGTCCTTTGTTTTTCCCCAAATCCTGCATCCCACAGGGAAAGCAGTGCCTCTCCTCCCTCTCTGACACTTACTGAATCAACAAGTAGCCACAGTCTTCCACAAATAATTGTCTGAAAGCAATGTGACTTTTTCTTAAATTATGGAATCTCTTTTCCATTATAAAATAAACACCTGTTAATTATAGAAAAGTTAAAATATTCAAAGATCTATATAAAAGATGCTAATGGTAGGAATATATAATACTCTGGCCTATTTCCTTCCAGTCTTTTTGGTGTACATAATTTTCATGCTGTACAGTGTTCTACTTTTTACTGTAACATAGAGTTTTTTCTCATTTTTTCTCAGATTTCTTTGAAACTGTTACATTTAATGACACGTAGTCCATCTTATACCTATACCTAACTTAATCATTCTCATTATTGCTTTACAGAAAGGCATATCAACTTTTATGTCCACCAGCAACGCATGAGAGCACCCGCTTACTGTATCTTCATCAGCACTGCTCACTGAATTTTAAAACTCTTTGCCCATTTTTTAGGAAAAATATTGCAAAACATTTAAATTTGCATTTCTTTGGTTACTAGCTCTAGCTTATCGGCCCATAAGTATTTCTTCTGTGAGCTACTTTCTATTGGGGTTTAACAGCTTTTCTCATTGAGCTTAGTTTCGTTAGCTTGACTCACATTTGTTGCATGCCCACTGATGTCAGGCACTGCAAGGTAACTGTGGGTCTTGTTTTTCCTTAGAGACAACCGACTTCCTTGTGTACCTGCTCCTCAACTCCATCCCTGTTACCATAATTATGCCAACATGAGAAATCTCCACCCCTAACAACATATAGTCAGTGTTGCTACCAAGACCTGGAGTTTGACCATCCTAGCATGTAAATATAGTAGTCAGTAGCAGGTTATACACTATAAACTAATAATTTCTATTAACTATTAACTAATAATTTCTGACAACTAAAAGTAGAAATCAGGTACTATTATTCTCTAGGAAGTTCTCCCAAACTCAGGAGGTGGCAAAAGAGGCCCAGGGGCTGAATGCTGAGAGCGAACCTAACTGGCATCTTTCTGTGAAAATAGCCTGATCTCCCAAGATGCTTTGTGTGTTCAGTTTCATAGAAGGAGCAGAGCCAGGGAAGGGAAAAGAGCTTCCTACCAGCATTTATTCTACACCAGGGACCATGGCTGGGCACTTGACACGCAATAGTTCACTTTATCCTCATAATACCTTATAAACTGGGTATGGTAATCTCCATGTAAGAGAGGATGAAAATGAGGCACAGAACTTGCCGAAGGTCACATGACTAGTAAGTGGCTAAGTAGATAATCAAAACCAAGCCGGCTGACCGTGAAACCCACACTCAAGTCACTGTCACATTACACCCACCACATCGCCACCATGTGCGGTGTTTTTGTGATGGGGGGGGGGAGTTAAGGGTTAGTGGCGAGGGAATTAGATTAAGGAGCTCACAGGAGATGGGGGAAATTAGGGCAAGGAGTCCAAGTGGACGACCTCCACTCTGCAGTCTATGCAAAATCACAGAGGCAAAGGAGCATGGCACATTGAGAAAGTCCAAGTAACTCACTTTGGTTAGGCACGTGGAAGAGGAAGAGTGATGATGAGGGCTGCTCTGAATGCCTTAGAGAGCCCTATTCCAGGCTCTGACCCTCCTCTGCACACCCCACCCCCCCACAACCCCGGGGCCAAGGAGACTCGCCCAAATAGAGTCCACGCTGCACCTCTCCCTTGTAGACCAAACTCCTAGTATCTGAAACCCTAAAAGTCTCTGCCCAAAGAGCCCTTAGCCTACTTCTTGGGCCCATGTGTACCTCTTTCCAAGGTCCAACACCCCAAGGGCAAGTAACACCACCAGTAATGAGAGCCCTAGGCTTGAGGGGTGGCAAAGGGCTGCTATTTGCAAGGATGTGGCTAGAACATGGATATGTGAGCTGGGGTGTCCACATGCACGCGTGAGGCGCCCCCACAGTGGAAGACAGAGCTGGGCAATGGGCAGAGAAGTGAGGTAGACCACAGGCTAGGGGATGGCCTCCCTGTACTCAGAGGAGTCCAAGAAGTCTAAACTTGAAGTTGGCCTCCTACATCACTATGAAGATGTATTTGTCAAGGTGGAAGAGTAGAACATGTTCTATTTAACAGTTTGTTCATGTGCTATACTAATTCTCAATATTTAGACATAGGGCATGTGGGTTTCCATTTGTACTCTTGCCCCGGGCATCACAATGTTAGAAGCAGGCCTTCCAGAGAAGAGGCGGGAGAGGAAGACATGTCTTGTACCATGGCCAGGCGCACTGGATTTATCTTAAGGACAATGAGGAACCCCTGGAGGGTGTCATTCAGGAAAAGAACATGACAGGTGATTTGGAGATTACCCTGAAGCTGTGCAGAGGGAGAGTAAATTGGGGTCAGCCAGAGGGAGTGGTGAAAGCAGAAGCAAAGAACCATCTCCTTTGGGTCTTTGCTAAAATGCCTCTTGAGAGAAGTCTTCCTTGGGCCACCCTGGGTAAAGCTGACCTGCCACCCAGCACTCCCCACCTTCCCTCT